TGACTTAAAGGTCTATGGCTTTTTTGCCTTTTGAACCTTCCCCCTCCCCTAACAGGATCTTTTTTTTTCTTTTTTCTTTTCTCCAATAAAACATGCACTTGGTCACTCCCCACTGCTTGCTGTTTTGTCACTTCAATCTTTGTCACCTTAGCCAAAAGACCCAGTGAGAAGGGAGCTGGTGACAGTGGGAAAGTAAGGGAATGGTGCATGAGCAGTCTGACCCCATGAAAGTTGGGGTGAGCCATGCAGTCTGACCCCAGGACAGTTGGTACAGGCATCTCTGGCAGCCCGACCCCAGGAACCTACAAGGATCCTGCCCCTTCTTTTCTTTTTCCTTCTTTTTGTCTCACTTCAAAAGTATAAAAGGAAGCTGTTAGACTATACTTTTAAATGATTATGGGTAACTCAATATCTGTCCCCAAGATGTTAATGTTGTCCTCAGGTTATATTTTACAAAGCTGGTACCATTTTAAAATAGTGGATTAAAAAAAAAAAACAACCAAAAAAGAGTTTGATTTTTTCTCTCTACATTTCTCTAAATGTAAGTTAGAGAGTAAAAAAACAAGTAAGTCCTCAAACTCGGCTTTATAAAAAAGAGAGAAAGTAAATAACTAACTTTTTGATTATAAGTCTGTGGTATTAATCAATAGGGAAAAAAGTACTCAGAGTAGCTTGGAGTAATAAGGAGTACACTATTCTGATTTAAATAAGAAGTGGTCACTGATAGCCCTAGGGAGCAAGTGTATAGCAGAGGTGGGAGCCTACAGCACAGGCGCTACCCTGGCACATGGCGTCCTCTCTGTTGGCACGTGAGCCAAGTTGCCTAGCAGCCAGGCATCATATATTCAGGTTTCATTTCTGTGTTAACTCTTTGAGATACATAACTGGGCCTTGGGTTGCAGCTTGAACACTTGGTTTCTTTTTTGTTTTGTTTGTGAAATTGGGGATTGAACTCAGGCCCTTGCGCTTGCCAGGGAAGCACTTATTCCACTGAGCCATCTCCCCAGCCCCGAACACTTGGTTTCTAAGAGGTTCCCCATCACTAGTCTATAGTTGTAATCTAAGAAAAAAGATCATTATGATTCAGTATGGCCAGTGCATCTAAAAGGTGCTCTTTATCATATGTGTTGTATATATTTTTTTCTTTGTATATTTTAAAATTTTGTTTTTATTAGTACATGTTTGCCATACATAACCGCCACATTCATCATGGCGAGTTGGTACTTGTTCATAGCACATCTTAATTCTTTTTATCCTTTTCTCTCCCTTCCCTCTTATATTTTTTGTCTGTTTGCCGCCTGCCAATAAGTTTTTAGTAATAGGCTTATGTGCCTTTAGCTGCCTTGTTTAAAAAAAAATTTCAGTTCATATAAGTTTCTTTTTTAAGAAATTCAAGGGCTGGAGAGATAGCTCAGCAGACTAAGTGCTTGCTTAGGTAAGTGCGCGGGCTAGCATTCGATCCCTGGCACCAAATGCCATGCTGGCCCTGCCCCAGGCATGTTGAGCTGGCTGGCGATGGAGTCTGTGCATGGTGGTACATGCCTGCAATCCCACAGCACTAAGGAGGCTGAAAACAGGGGGATCACTAGGAGTCTGTGCTGTTTAGTGAGAACCTGCACTTCCCCCTCAAAAAAAAAATTATTTGGTACAGGATCTCACAACACATCTTGGGCTTATAATGATCCTCCTCTCAGCCTCCCCAGCACTGGGATTATAGGCATGTGCCACCCTATGCCTGTTTTGCACACCTGGGGTTGTGGGTTTGGCACAGCATGCAGTACCAGGGATTGAACCTGGGTCCATGTGCCTGTCAGGCAGGCACTTAGACCTCCACCGAGCTATCATCCAGCCCCTCATAGCAGTTCCTTAAAAATTTTTGGGGCCGGGGAGATGGCTCAGTGGAATAAGTGCTTCCCAGGTAAGTGCAAGGGCCTGAGTTCAATCCCTGGTTCTGAATGAAAAAAAAAATTTTTTTACCCTTACAGATTTTTGGCTCTGTCAGAGCTTTCACAAAGAACTGATTATACAGATACTGTGCAGTTACCAAACTCACTTAAAAGACTGGAAAATTTAGGGGGCCTGGGAAATGGCTCAGTGGAATAAGTGCTTCCCTGGCAAGCACAAGGGTCTGAGTTCAATCTCTGGTTCTGCAAAAATAAAAATAAATTTTAAAAAATTTTTAAAAAACTGGAAAATTTAAAACTGAGGCTAAGTCAGAAATGGTGGCACTTGCCTATAATCCCAGCACTTGGGAGACTGAGATAGGAGGATTGCTGTGAGTTCAAGGCAAACCTGGAGAATATAGTGAGGTTCTGTTTCAACCCCCCCCCCAAAAAAAAAACAACAGAAAAAGTGAAGCTAGGTACAAGCGGGGGCTTCAACACTATCCCAGCTCCTACTGGCAGTCTCCATCCTCACCTACAGCATCTTAATTTATAATTTATAATCATAACACTTAATTTATAATTTATGACTCCTAGCTGTTTCAGAACTATGTCCTTCCACATTTCAGTGTACTGCCATTACGTAGTCTAACATACTTTCAAGTGGTCCTTAGGTTAAGATTTAGCTTCTTGTGTGGGTATGTCTATTAGGACAAAAGCACCTAAGTAAATCTTCTAGCCACTGAGCTTTTTACCTTTGCCTTAGTTACTCTCATTGCTGGGAGAAAATATCTGACATGCACAAGTTAAAAGAAGAAAGAGGTTTATTTTGGCTCAGTTCATAGCGGTTTTAGCCTGCAGTCGGCTAGTTCCAAGGTAGTGTGTGTGGCAGAGAAGAAGCTGTTCAATGTTGTGGCAAGCATAAAACAGAGAGGAACAAAGGGAAGAGGAGGGATATGCGCTACTCCAGGCCACACACACAGTGACCCACCTCTTCCCACCATGCTTCACCTTTCAATATCACACCCAGCTATACACCCATGAGTGGCCTAACCAGTATCCAACCACTAATAATCTAATGTCATATATCCATGAACTATTACCTCCCTAAAGTCCCACCTATAAGTGCATGAGATTTAGGGGGACACATAGATACCAATCATAATATCTTTTCCCTGGCTCCCAAAAGACTCATGCTTATCTCTTTATGCAAAGTGTATTTAGTCCATCTCTAACAGTTGCCAAAGTCCTAACAGTTTCTATAGTGCTGAAAAGTCCAAGTCTAAAGTCCCCTCTGGGGCTGGGGATAGAGCTCAGGGGCTTAAGCACCTGCCTGGCAAGTGCAAATTTCTGAGTTCAATCCCCAGTACAAATCGATCAATCTACTATAGTCTTCTCTGAGATTTAAGACAAACTCATAAATGGGCTCCCTTAAATATGAAAAGAAAGTTAAACTCTTCTAGCACACAATGACACAAGATAAACATTCTCATCCTAAAAGAAAGAGGAGGGTAGAAAGGCATGGTATCAGAGCAAGACCAAAATCTAGCGGGGCAAATACTAAGCATGGTTGTTGCATGTCCTGCACCTGGGCAAGCTGTGGCAAGCTGTGCCCTCCAAAAAGCTTGGGAGGCTCTGCTCCCATGGCACTGCCAGTTGTTGCTCATGGCCTCAGTCTTGAGCTGGATTAGCTCTTGTGTATTTCCTCAGATAATCTGTGTTCCTGGCTTCTGGGATCTCCATTGCACTTTCAGCTTCACATGCTGCCCTCGCAGGGGGCACACTGCCTGGCCTCCCAGGCCCTCTTCTGGAATCTGAGTGGACCCCTTCCAGACCCTACTTTGGCATTTTGCGTGCAACTAAGACCAGCGCCACATAGATGATGCCACGGTCTGCCACCTGCTGGAACAGCAGCCAGGCTTCCTCCTCTGACATACACGGGAGTCAAGTGCCTGGATGGCTGAGCCCTAGGAACCTAATCTCAAGGAACAGTTTCCCTGGACTTCCATTCTGGAACACATTGCCTGGAAGCTTTTTTTCTCAAAGCAGTCTCACTTTTGCAATTTTGAGGCTGCAAAGGGTAGAATCCTGTTGATTTTGTGATGCCCCCAGGGTATTTAAAATTTGTCCTATTCTGAAGTACTGGGCTTTTTTTTTTTTTAAAAAAAATTATTTATTTATTTATTTTTTTGTCCTGTCAGAGGTGAATATTCTATTGGCATCTAAATACTATAAGTGTTTGAATTCAACTAAACAATCTAACTCTGTCCAGCAGTCTATAATATTAGTGGGTTATCTTCAAAGGTTATTGACTTGAGCCTTTTACAGCTCATCGTATTAACATGAATTTACTTTATATACCTCATTTTTATACTTTTCTACTGGATGGTTAAGACCAAGATATAGCAAGACCTATATAACAAGAAATGTAGCTTTTGTATCTTATAAGGTCAGCCAAGTACTCTCAGGATTTATCCTGTAGCCCTATATCGCCCTTTGTACATTCTTTTGTGAGTGACTGACATGAGGATGAGTCACGGCCATTGCTTGACCAATTTGCTCTCTGTGAAAGCTTGAGAAAATGTTTTTTCTCTCCATGTGACTCTCCCCAGGCTCACTTTAGATCATCGAACACATTTCTCTGTGGCTCCATAATCTTGATCAGAAAATTTGGAGCACAACTGAGTTACATGTTGTTACAGTACAGGTTCTCCTATGTCCTGAGTCTTCACTGACCTTGAAAGGCTAGGGCCAAAATATTGGCTGATTTTGCAGCCCTTCCTTTTCTCCAAATTTTAATCTGCTAACTTAGGTTGTTAACTCTCTAGAAGAGAAGCTAATTATTAACCTGCAATAAGTACTGGGCTTTTTGTTTGTTTGTTTTGGTACCTGAGATGGAACTCAGGACCTTGCACTTGCCAGGGAGGTGCTTATGCTGCTGAACCATCTCCCTGGCCCAGTATTTGGCTTTTTATTTTTTACAACCAAAAATGTTTAATTGCAGAAAAGTAGCCAGCACTCCAATCATGTCACGGAAGCTGAGGAAGGATCAGGGCTCTCTATCCAGGCTGGGCAGGTGTGACAGGAAAGGGCAGAAGGAGTGTCTGCCACTGAGCCTCAGAGCTTCGAGAGGCTGTTGGGGGCCAGGCTGCAGGTGAGGCCTGGGCCATCTGGCTCCACATTCAGGGTCTTTACCACACCATCTTCTATCACCATGGAGAACCTCTTGAGCTGGCGATTCCCAAAGAGGGGTACCAGTGAATTGTCCAGCAATAAATCTGTCTCCTTCCCAAAGGCCCCAGTGGGATCAGCCAGTAGTCGGACCTTGCCTTCTGCTTTGTGGGCTTTACCCCACTCTCCAGTCACAAAGACATCGTTAACACTCAGACATGCCACCACTTGCACCCCTTTGGCCTTCAGAGCACCAGCCTGCTCCACAAATCCTGGCAGATGGGTCTTGGAACACCTGGGGGTAAAAGCCCCAGGGACTCCAAACAGCACAACCTTCTTGCCCTTGTACAGCTCTGCCAGGTTCACCTTGTTCCCAGGCTCTCCTTCAAACACCTTCACAGAGGGGATGGCATCGCCCACCTTAATCGCGGCCATTGCTGCGGCGGCGCTGCGGAAACCTCGGGCCCCCTCACACGCCCACCCTCTTGCTCCACTTTCTAATCATCGGCTCGCTGCTGCTGCTGCTGCTGCACACTGACGAACAGCCCTGCCACAGAGCACGGACTCGCTAGGCAGCCTAGCACAGTGAACCGCACCAGCTCCAAGCCCGCCCCCCCCCCCACCCCCCCCCCGCCAGTATTTGGCTTTTTAATGCTAATATATTTAGCAGCCAAATTCTCCTTTGTTCTATTTTTTTCAGATCACAGCTTTACCAGAGCTTCCTTTCTGGCCAAACTAAAAACTTAAAAATTTATTCCTCTGGGCCTTTACACTTGATTCTCAAGTTAGACCTGGCTGAAAGCCCCCAACAGTAGCCATATTGGTACCACATGATGGATATGACAGAAGGATTCTAGGCTCTTGTGCCTGGTGAGCAATGGTGAATGAATGAATGAATTTATCCAGTATCAAAGGATAAAAAGGAAAAAAAAAAAAAGATTATACATT